CACAATCCTGCATAAATTGAGGAGGTACATGTGGAACAGCTCCTCATAAGGCCCCATTTTAACTTTCCACATAAATCCACATCTCTACATGCTCTTGTCTCCACGCATGGCTTTTCCCCTAAAAGAGGTATGAGTGAAGGTAAAGCAAGTCGAAGACATTTTGCTGCCTGCGGCAAAGGACAAAGTGATGTCCCCACCCTATTCCTCCTACAAAAACTGTCCAAGCTGAACTTGGATCTTACTTCAATAATGGCAATGAGACAACATCCTATACTTCATCATGAAGACAGAAGATTAGGTTAGGGAGAGAGTATAGAGCTCTATCCTCTAGCACAGAAAAATGACTCACAGTGTCGAGGTTGTCTTGCTGTCTCTACACATCATGTACCACCTTTCTAATGGTTGAGACAGTCCAGGGCACAGGATATGAAAGAACTTTTCTGCAGAATACTCTGATTTGAAGTACTAGAGAGTTTCAGTTGAAAGTGAACAGCTTCCAGTATCATGAAAACCCTGACATAGCAGGAACAGTCTTGCAGGGAAGGTAAAGTTCAACAACATCATTACCAAGTTCTCCACTGTACCCTGTTCTTTAATGCATAAAATTGTGTCTCAAGTATCCCTTCATCTACCAGTGTTTCTTTGAGGTTTTCAAAGAAATAATCCTTTTAAGTGTTGTAGCACAGATTTTAAGCATTTTTATTTTGAGGTTTAGGTATTTTTATTCAAAACATGTAATTATCACTTCATTCACAATGTGTGTTCCATGGGTATCAGCCATTTAGCTTTGCTTTATTTTAAAACCTCTGAAGAAAAATGACTTTCAACTACAGGGCCTTTTTTTAAATGGAAAAAAGGGGTCAGAGGTAAAATACTAGCAATTTTCTAAGAGTTGTTTTTAAGCAGGCATTGTAAGATTTATTTATTTATTTGCCTGAAAATATTATTTTTAAATGAAGATAAAAATGGAGGCAAGAAGAAAGAGCAAAACAATAATTTCTTCGTATTCTCGTAGTGATATTCATTGTAGTGCAGTATGTTTTAGTATAAAGATATGTTGGTTTATTAATGTTATGGATACGTTTGTTGGATAGCTAGAATAAAACAGGCTGGATTCCTCTTTACACTCAACTTGGAGTGAATCTCATTGAGCAAAATGGGCCATAGATCTGAGAAAACTTGTATAGATATGCACTGCCAGTATTTCTGACAAGGTTGTTACCATTAGCAAATGGTCTTAGCCAAATTTTAAAGTGACTTACAGCTCCTAAATAATGTCTTTGGAATTGTAATGTGCTTCAAGCCTACTCTGACCTATGGTGGCCCTGTCATATGGTTTTCTTGGCAAGATTTATTCAGGAAATGTTTGCCTTCCTCTTAAGCTGACAGTGTGTGAATTGCTCAGTGGGTTTCCATGGCCAAGCAAATATTCAGATCCTGATCTCCTATACTTAGTCCAACACTCAAACTATGCTAGAATTTTGGAATAGTCTTATTTAAGCATATGTAACAATTGCGTAACAATGAGTTAGAAATTCTTCACTTTAACTGTGCCCTAAATAAATATTTGAATGTTTAAATATTTGAAGGGA